TAATTCGGGAAAAATCTCGAGTCATCATCGAAGTTTTGGTGTTCTAATTCCATATTTTAGATAACCCCAAAAAAAATATCCCGATCGTGATTGAACCAATTCCTGAATCTCGATCCAGTAATTATTCCTAATCCCGATCTTGAATCCCGTAATCCCGAATTCCCGAAGTATTAGTCCCAAATAGTAAAATTCCGATCGGAACGGGACGGGATCCCGAATCCCGATCCCAAAAGCCCAGCCCTACTAATAACGACGCGGGTAGAGAAAGCAGAGGCATGAACCTTAATCGACTATGTACGTGTTCAATAGTCGATTAAGTTAATCAAGACAATGCTCTGGTAGTTAATTAAGGTTAATCGACTCCAAATTTATTTATTTTTTGAATTTTTTGTTTATTGATTCCAGTTGTATAAATCAAATATTATGTTTGTATATTTTTTATTTCTGTAAAATATAGTTGATTTTGTATTTTTTTTAGTTGTGATTTGTTATTTTTAATAGTCAAATTCTTAATCGACTATGCTTATATCTCATAGTCGATTAATATACCTGATAGAGGACAAAAAAAGTTAAAAAAAAAACGAAAACAAAAATAAAAAAAAAGGCTGATGAGGTGGTAGGGGCGTAATTGATGATAGTATTGATGAGGTGACAGGGGCATAATTGAAAAAATAGGTGGCTCAAATTCAGAAGGAGCTTTTCACAAATGATGCAAAATAGTTTGTGTATCTACCTATTAAAAGAAATATTGAGGGCGTTACATCAAAAAGCCCCTATTTTGTAATCCCAGAATATAACTTATGTTATATTTTATACGAAAAATATAAATACCGAAGGGTCAAGAAAATTAAAATTTTAGAAAAATATTAATTAATACCAGAAACATTATTTTAAATATGTCCTTAAAATAAAATATATGTTTCAATTTGTTGTTTTCACATATATTTTTATTTAGTGGCTATTAATGAGAACCCCTCTAGTTGTTTTTTTTTTTTTTTTTTTTTTTTCTAAATACGGATGAATCCAGCCCCTTTTCACTTATTCGTAATAGACTCACTTCCTCCTTTATCGCAAATTTACCCTCCCCAGTCCCCACTATTCACTCATATTATCCACTACTTTAATTTTTTTATATATAATTAAAATAAATTTAAATTTTCGTTTTTCTTATCATGTTATTTAAAACTAACAATAATAGCTTAAAATAATATTTTTCTTTTAATTTTTTATTTAAAAAATATTTTAATTTTGTATTTATTTTTATTTTTTTAGTTTCAGTTTTTTTTCCGGAATCAACTATAAAGATTCCAAAACCAGCTATAATATTTCCGAAATCGAATATAATTTCGATTTATTTTATTTTATTTTCTTAATTTTAATTTTTCAGTTATTTTTGGCATTTTTTTGCCAATTTTTTTTTAATGAAAAACATCTATAAATTGTAAAACTACTATTAGATAACTATAAGATGAGATCAGTAAGTACCATGGTGCCGACCTTGACAAAGTGGGGTGGCGTTGGCGGAGCGACGGCGGCGGCGGCGACGCAGAGGTGGAGAGGCGAATCTGTGGATATAAGAGAAAATAGAAGAATAGACTATGAATTTATGTGGTTAGAATTTTAGGAGGAAAAAATAAATTATATGTTATTGATAGAAGGGTAAATTAGAGAGATTATTTTAAATTTTAATAAATATATATTTAATTAACTAATTAGGGGGTTCTCACTAATATTGAAAATGAAGTTATATCATCTTAATATAAGTAAATGAGTTGGGATTTATTTGACAAACCCCCCTCATATCCATTGTACAATTAAGATGGGTCCATATTTTTTTATCTTTTTAAGAAAAATCCAAAATAATTTTAGTAACCACAAATAATAAAATTTTATTATTTTAATACAATTATACCCTTCACCCTATATTCCACGATCTTTTATCTTTCTTTGATTTTTCTTTTCACCGTCCAACTTTTCTCTCTTTTATTTTCTCTCTTCATCTTCTCCATCTCTTCTCCATCACGTTCGCCTCCACCGCTGCAATTTTCAGATTGATTTGGTCGTAGAAGACGACATCCACAACTCATAAATCCCTCTCATATCTCTCTCTTCAAACCAAATTTGCCGCGAGGGGCTTCAATCCCAGCAATTTCAGCCTTCTCTCAACGAAGGTAACAATTAGGGCCCTTTTGCTTTGTTGGAAAAGGCCATATTGATTATTTTGTCCGATGTAATCCTTGATTAGGTTTCTTGTATTACGGCCCGCTACTGATTCGAGGCCCGGCTACTTGTCCGGCCTTTTCCTGGAATTCCCCGATTATACAATCTCACCCTTCCAACCCAGATTATCTTGTCTCCTCTATCTGCTGGATTATTGTGTTTTTTCACTACCGAATTTGTCCTTCTCATAGTGGGCAAATTACAGATTACCTCGATATAAATATATCTTCATTCATCAGATTTCTCTTCTTTTTTTTTCTTGCCCTATCTCGCCGTTTTCTGAGTTTCAATTTGAAAAGGTACAAATTCGAAATTTGCTCCACTCTTTCTTCGTTCTCTTTGTTTAATTGACTGTTGTTATTTACGGGTGATGTTCAGCTGCTCGTAATCGAAGACGGAGCAGTTGATTGTGTTTTTTGGATCTACTACTTCGACGGTCGTTGGTCGAAGACGGAGCTGTGGGTTTCAGTGTGAAGCAGTTATTGTGTATCATCATCCTCTAAGGTACGATTCTCCGAAGTCAGTTACATATGTTTTTCGATTTTGGATCTACGTTGTTGTGTGACTTGTGGAACCCATTGTTTTCTTTCCCCTTCTTGTGTGTGTTATACTTGTAATGGTGTTGTATTGTTTTGTCTCTTTTTCTGGTTTTACTCATGTCAATTTTCAGTCCATTTTTTTCAGTTTTGTTAATGATGTTAATTAGTTTTTGTTTCCAATGTGAACGCAATCTGGTTTAATGTCGAATGTAGAATAACTAATTCAATCTTCTAAGTATGTGTTTACTGCCATTTAATTACAGATTTGAATTTGATTTTTTTGACAACAACAATAATTGGGTTGTTTGGTTTCTCTGATTTTTTGGCACTATGTGAATTTTTGTTTTTTTTCCCAGTAGGTATCAATTATTTACAGTACATAGTCTTCTGTTTTCTTGTAAAGATAACATTTCAATATTTTTTAAAACAAATTCAAACTTACAGCTTTCCAATCTTTATGGAAGACAATACGGAAAACGAGGAAGCCATAGTAGTTCTAGTTACTCACATATCCGAGCAAATGAAATCGTTGATGTCAATGTATGCTGTATTTGTACAATTAATTACACGTCGCCGTCGTAAGAAACCTCATGGTGGTGTTAGACATTATAGTTTGAAACTTAAAATAGCCGACCAAATACGACATGTGCACAATCTTGTTGGGTGGAACGACACCATATGCCGAAATAATTTAAGAATGAACACCGATACCTTTTCCCGATTGTGTACAACCGAAGAACCAACCGGGTGACCGTTGAAACATTGTTCGATGATCCCCTCAGCCACCGGGTACAATTTAAATTATATTTATATAACAATGCTTTGGATGAAATAAGTATTTAATATTGTTTAATTTTACTCTTTATATTATTTGTAATGCAGAAGAAACCTCGAAAACAACTCATGAACAACTATTTTCGGGCAAATGGTTTTCCGTACTTCGACACTTGCGAGCTCATATTTGATGAGAAGGAAGCCGGCCCAATTGATTTTGGTGGAGGACAAGGAAACCATGTCTTAGATCCTATACTCGTTGATGCAGGGTACTTGTCTGATGATACTTCCACCGACGAGTCGTATAACGATGAGCAATTTGCGTACGATAATTTCATGGCCAATCAGTTCACCAATGAGAATCCTTGGGAGGTTGATTGGGACGCGGCCGCGGCTCGATGGGACGCTCCTAACGAACCTAATGTTGCTGTTGTCGGGGATGATGCCGTTCCCAATGAAAATGATGGGGAGCCGGAGGAGGGTGGTGCGCTAGGGTCCGACGCTGAATCGGATATCACCCAAGTTTGAATATCTATGTCTGTTGTGTTGTTAATCGAAGTTTAAGTTGGGTTATGGAATATTATTGTTTAAGACCTATGTAATCTATGTTTCATTATTGTCTGTGTTGTTCATGTTTTTAAGTGGTTTTTTCGGGTTTCAATTTGTGAGTTGTAGTGGGTCCTAATTATTATCAAGTATGATAATAGATGTGGTAATTTTGCTTGTTTTTCAACCCATTAGGATTGAAATGTACCACTAGTAGTTATTGACTTGAAGTTAATATGCAATTGTCTGCATGCAAAGTTTTTTGCCACAGTTCATCTACTATATGCATGTAATGTTTGAAATGATGATCTGCATGACTATTTTATGGTCTATTACTGACCTTGTATTAAACATAAGAAAAATAGTAATAGTAAACATAATAATAAGTAATTGAATCAACAATAATCAAAACAATAAAAACAACATTCTGAGTTTTATAATAATAATAATAAAAATATAAGTGATAATAATAATGTTGATACAATAATTATTATTATAATAATGGTAACAATAATAATAATAATAATAATAATAATAATAATAATAATAATAATAATAATAATAATAATAATAATAATAATAATAATAATAATAATAATAGCCTAACAAAAAATGTAATGAAAAACTTACTGTGTTATGGTATGAGTTTGAAGAATGGCCACTTCCTCCTTTTATAAGGAAAAATATGGGTATTATCGTATTTTCACAACAAAATGTAGGTAATGGCATGAATCAACTAAAATTAATATAGAAATCCTAAGATGGAACTGGTAGGACTAAAAACTTATCTAAAGACCCAGTCCAAGAAACATAAGGGCATATTGATAGTTTTTAACTTAATCCCAACAGTGTAATCTATGTTTATCAATAATGGGTTGTTTAATCCTATCATCAAAAGCAAAAGGGCCCTTATTAGATTATTTAATCAACGTTTACACAACTTGATAAGAAGGTAACAATTATTAGATTTTTTTGCTTAATTATTATCAATTTATTCTTTTGTTCTGTTTTATGTATTTGGTTCAATTAAGCCTAAAGAGTTTTTGGATCTGGATTTGTTTATTTTATTTTTGAGAATAGATATGTTCAATTTGGTTAATGTTTTATTGTTTTATTGTTTTATTGTTTAAATAATGTATACAACTATGTATTCATTATTTTTTCATTGTTTTTACGAACTTAATTTAATTTAGAAAACATAAATAGATAAATAATGAATAATGTCATCGGAAAAACAACACATTGATATAAAAACAACACATTAATTGGCAATTTGTGGATAAATAATGGATTTTCTTGTTCATTTTTTTTGTGGACTTCTGTTGTTATTATTATTCTTCTGAACATTAAACCAAAACATAAATCTTATATGTCTGTTGTTGGGTGCTAAATACCTAACACGCAAGTGCACGTATCGCAAACAAGTAGTAAAAGTGGACTCGTGAGAGTCGGATGTCGATCCCACAGGGAATACTCAAATTATCTAATCCTAAGTACCAAATTCTAACAATTATGATTTTTATTCAGCCTACGCAAAGTTGTTAAATAAATCAATAAAACAATTAAACTAATTATGAAAGCAAATAAACACGGGAAAATATCAATAAAAACGGACCTAGGATTTTATCTTCCCCCTATGCAAGAATTGCTCACCCAAAACCCCTCAATTATGAAATACATGATTCATCATTATTAACCCGAGACACTTATTTACTCATAACCCGCTGTCGCGTGTATTATGAGTCTATTATTCATAAACGATTCACTATATGTCTATGCAAACCAATTATAAATAAAGCATTAACTAACAAGTCTCGTAAATGGCTACCTAAGGTGATATCTGTATGTCTACGACACCACATGCAATTGACACACTCATCCGGTGAAAACTACTCGAAGGCTCTTCTACCTACCGTCTAATTATCAAAATAGCTCTGTCGAGTCAATCCCAATAATCACAGATAAAGCACATAAATTGATCAGGCTCATGCACTAACAATCATAACAGGGAGAAGAAATAATCATAAAATCATAATTGCATAATCTCAAGAAAACGGGTTCACCATCCCCACATAGGGTTCCGACAAAATCCTAGATTAAAAACTTAGCTACTCGTAATTCTTATAATAAGCAAAATAGAATAAATAAAATAAATAAGAAAAACTATGTTCGAGTCTTCGTTGATCTTCGTTCTTCGCGTTTTGTGGTGTAAAATTTCGTCCTTATGGTGTAGAGACATGTTGCTTTTATAGGCGTTTCTTGATAAGGAAGTAGTAGAAACCTAATAGGACTCAATTTCCGCCTCTTTCCCCCTATCAGGACTTGTTATTCGATTTTCGCCATGTTGGAGTCCGAATTTTGGAATATTGTGTAAATAAGAATTGTAGCCCTTGAAATTAGCTTTCCAATGCCGCCAAAATCACCTAATTCGGAGTTCGTATGAGAGAGATATGCTCGAAATCGTGGACACTGTCAAAGCTGTGGCGAGATTCCTTCGTCCAATTTGATTTGTTTCCTTATTTGCAACTTTTTCCTTATTTTTGATCTTTTTTCCTTCATGGACACCTAATTCTCGTTTTTCACCTATAAAACACAAAATCAATCAATTAAAGCACAAATATAATTAAATCTAAACAAAAGATCCACGTAAAGTAAACGTATTGAGTGTAAAATCTACACTCAACATCTGTGTTATTTGTTCTTCTATTGCATTATATAGTGGACTTCGTTAATTTCATAATCGATTTCAATAAATTTATTGTGGATTTCGATAAGTATATAAAAAGCGGTTTTCGATAAATTTGTAGTTAATTTTGATAAGTATATAAAGTGGTTTTCATGTTTATATAGCTATTTATACAGAGTGGTTTTCGTGTTTATATAGTTGTTTATGCATAGTGGTTTTCATTGTTGTTCCCTCTTTCATTTTCCGTTTCAACAAATTGATGCAATATTAGTAGGTTGAAAAGATTTTATTTATGAAAATTTCCAAAATTACCAACGATGGTGTGACACCAAGGTCTTCTTTGGAAATTGGTTTTTATTTGCTAATTAATTTTTTTTTCTTATTCAGATTGATTTAGTGACCCTCATCGGCTTTGTTGGCGGTGGTATACTGGTCTTGCACTTCTTCCTGGACATAGTAGTGGTTTACGTTTTTTTTGTTTGTTAGTTTTGTGTTGTGTTAGTAATGAATTACGTATGTGTTTAGTGGATTTCAATAAGTTTGTTGTGGATTATGTTAATATTAAAGTGGATTACGTTGATTTTACAGTGAATTTTACAATAATTTTACAGTGGTTGTCGATAAATTTGGAGTAGTTTTCAATGAATATATAATGGATTTTTATTTTCGTAACCCTGGTGGAAAAAAGAAAAACTATATATAAAGGAAAAAAATTGGACGATAATAATCATATTTTTTTAAACCCGGTAGAATAAATAAATAAGTAAATAAAAATACTGAAATTAAATAAAAACAATATTTTGTTGTAACATTGAAATAAAAAAAAAACCAAAAAAAAAGAATAAAAAAACTTTTTTTTTTTAAATAGAATAATAAAAAAAAAACGTAGATCATATATAATAATATGATAGGGTTTGTTGTGGATTTCAATAAATGTGAGGAGTTATTTTGGAGAGTATGCTAGGGCATTTCAGATAATTTGAGTCAAATGGACTTATGTCAAATATTAATTATTAAAAATGGATTTATAATGAAGTCAAAATTGAATGAAGGGGGTTTGTCAAATAGCCCCTTTATTTGTTAGGTTATGTCGAATTCTTTTATGGATTTTCTTGTATTTTGATGCAAAATTTCATAAAAGATTAAAAATATTGTAAAAATTTCCATTATATCCGAATTTGTAACAAGATATTATAAACTAATGTAATTTTCAGAATTTCCGGAATTCTCTGAGGTATTTAAAATCCGATTTTTTTGAAACGAAAATTTGAACCTATTTTATATTTCCAAAACAATATTTTCGATCCATTCCTTCCGATTTCCAGCTCTTAGTTTTTAAGTTTCAATTTTAAACAAGGGTCCATTTGATATACACCCCTCACATGGAAAATATATAGGGATAGGTTCACCCCTAAAAATCTTCCTTTGAGATACCCCACTCGAGAGGCAAAAGTACTATTGTGCCCTTATTTGTAATTTTCGCCCAACTGCTTTCAGCATTTTCACCTACTGCATTTATCATTTTGGACTTGCATTTCGTATTTTATACTGCATATACATCATTTTTATTGTTAATTATTTTTTTATTACTGCATATATATTATACCTTTTTTTATTGTCATTGTATTTTTTTATAAAATAATTTTTTTTAATATTTTGATTTTTTTAATTTTTAATTTTTTTTAATTTTTTCGATTTTGTTAATTTTTTTAATTTTTTTTATAATTTTTTTTTCTTTTTTTTTTTAAATTCAAATTTTGGTAACATTACTGAACTAAAAGTATACTACACATGACTATAGTTTACTACAAGTTCAATAGTCCTGTATAGTTATATGTAGACATGTACTGTCTTTTTACTCCAAAATTCATATACACCAACAAAAAAATTCACAATTTATCTTGATATTATAAATCAACTAACAAACAAAAAATGAAAAAAAATACAATCACATGCATATATATTCTTCAAACATGAACAAGTATTGCTGTACATTAAAAACCTATAGCATATATATAACTGTATGTTACTGCAAGTGACTATAGTTATTTACAATTATCTATAGTTATATATAATGACATAAAGTCTCGATTACTGTAGCATGAATCCAACTTCACAAAGGCACTTCATCGAATCTTATTCTCTGCATGTCATAAAATTATAATAATAGCAAAACCTGCGACAAAAAAAACACGAGTTAAATAGCAAAATGGAACATGCGAGTTAGATTACATGAAAAATACAAAAAAAAAACATGATTTTTTTTGTTGATAAATTTATTGAACTGAAATCGACTACAAATGACTATAGTATACTATAAGTCCTATAATCATTTATATGTAGCCATGACTATACATGCCTACATATGACTGACTGTATATGACTAAATATAACTATATATTTACCTGACTCAAATCACCCATGTAAGCAACCACTACTGGTTAAATTTCTATTACAGACAAACAAAGCTCTCACGCATTAGGCATTTCAAATCATCTTCAAATAAATACAAAAAATAAATTACATATGATTTATAATAAAAAAAAAATCAAATTACATGAAAAATACAAAAAAAGCATGATTTTTTTTTGTTGATAAATTTACTGAACTAAAATCGACTACAAATGACTATATTATACTACAAGTCCTATATATAGTCATGTATAGTTAGTTACATGTAGTCATCACTATACATGACTACATGTGACTGACTATATATGACTGCATATGACTAAATATAACTATATATTCACCTGATTCAAATCACCCATGTAAGTAACCACTATTGGTTAAATTTTCATTACAGCCAAACAAAGCTCTCACACTTTAGGCATTTTCGAATCATCTTCAAATAAATAAATAAATAAATTACATATGATTTATAATAAAAAATCAAATTAATCCAAAGAAAAATATTTTAATATTAATTGTCACAAATCTTCAAAAACATAGTAGATCTGGTTTTTTTTTTTTTTATATATATAAATGCAGTAAATATATACAATCAAACACCACCAATTCCAGATCTGAAATTCACCATTAGATCTGACTACACATCGTCGGATCACAATTTAAAATTTTTGAATTAAGTTGGTTTTATAAAAAAAAATTAAAAAAATTTGGTGAAATAGTGATAAAAATTCATATCTTAAAAAGAATAAATTAAAAATGGTTTGGCATTCATAAATTAAAAAGTGGAGTGAATGGTTTAGTACCGAGTTCAAGGCGATGGGAGGAGCAACGACGACCGGCACAAGGCCGTGGCGGAGCAGCGGCGCAAGGCTTTGGTGGCAAAGCAGCGGAGCACGACGGAGCACGGCGGAGCGACGGAGAAGGCGGGGAAGTGGAGAAACGGAGAAGCGAAGAAGACGGGGAAGCGGAGCGAAGAGAGAGAAGAGAACAAAAATTTTGAGAGATACAGAGAAGAGAGAAAACGTTGGAAGAGGGAGAGAGAAAAGAAAGCGGCTGGGGGAATGAAGAGAGAAATTAACGAGAGTTGGTGAGAGGGTTAGGGTTTTAAATTGTAACTAAAAGGGCAAAACTGGTATTTCAATTTGTCTAGGGGGTCTATCAAATTAAGATTAGAATTTAGGTTTTTGGCTAGGAAAGAAAAAATCATAGGACCTATGCCCTATATATTTTCAAAACTAGAGGGTTATCCCTCATTTCCCCCTTTAAACAAACAAAATGAGAAAAATATATATTAAATATAAATAAATTAATTAAAAAAATAAAGAAAAAAGAAAAAAAAGGAGATGACTTCTCTTCTTCCCAGTCAAACGTACGCAGTAGGGGTGAGCAAAAAAACCGAAAAACCGAAAAACCGAACCGAAAAACCGAAAAACCGAGCCGTTTTAAACCGTACCGAATAGCAAACCGCATGTACGGTTTTTTATTTTTGAAATACCGAATTATTCGGTTCGGTATGGTGGGAAGGTAAATAACCGAACCGAAAAACCGAACCGAACCGAAACTATAAAATGACTTCATTTTATATAATATATGTATTATTTTACCCTAATATTTATTTTCTATCTTTCAATTACTTGTCTCATTCTAAGCATTTGTTCATAAATTGAGACATTGTATTTTATTTATTTAGTAAGTAAAAAATTTACTTGAGTTCATGGTTTTAATAATGTGGTAGATGAAAGTAGGAAAAAAAAATGAAGCATAATACATCATCTAAATTACGCAAGTCCTATGAAATTAAAAATTTTATATTTTCATTGCATTAGTAAGTTGTGAAAGTAATTGTAATTGTATTGCATTAGTAAGTTGTGAAAGTAATTGTAATTGTATTTTTTTGTTTGTACAACAACTTGAATATATATTGACACTTGAACCGAAAAATAACCGAAACCGAACCGAAACCGAAAGAAACCGAACCGATAAAAAACCCGACATACACGGTTTTTAATTTTACAAAAACCGATATATTCGGTTCGGTTCGGTTTTTGGCTAAAACCGAACCGAACCGACCCGTGCACACCCATAGTACGCAGCCCTCCACACCGCCCTAGCTTATCACTCATCTTCTTCCTCAATTTGTGGTGCGTTGAAGTAGTTCGCCGAAAATAATTTGGTCGGAAGTGATACTGTGGCGGCGCCGGAGATCGAGGAAAAGAGAAAATGCGGTGGCGGGCGGCGGTGATTGAGAAAAGAGGTAAAACAAGGTGGGGCAGAGGTGGTGGAGCTCGCTGCCTCAAAACGCAGATCTGAAATGGTGCGTGGCTATGGAGGAGGGCTACGGAATTGAAAATGTCAGGGTCTTAATTGTAAATTTTGAAAACTTCATTTTGGGACAAACAAAAATTCTGGGGTAAATTTATAAATTTCAAAATTTATGAATTTAAAGGGTATTATTGATCCTGTGATGTTTATGTTAAAAGGAATTCTTCCTATACAGAACAACATATCCACACGTACGAAGGATTCCAAGAAACTCTAAACACTTTCCCTAGCAATTATATATAGCATCATCTAGTTTATTGGAATTTTCATCTTTATTTTCTTATTTCTGGTCCTGTACATTAACATAATGGTCACCGGTGACGAGGAGTATTTTCAGTTCTCTTTAAAAGTTGTTGTCAATAAAAAGAAAACGAAAGTACTATTTGCGGAAGTCGACAGCGATTTCGCCGACGTTTTATTGAGTTTTCTGACACTTCCATTGGGAACGATTATTAGGATTCTGAAGAAACACTATGGAGAAGAAGAAGAGGCTGTTAGTATTGGAAGCTTAACCACTTTATATAACGGCTTAGCAAATCTTGAAAACGAATGTTTCGTGACTAAGGGTTGTAAGGAGGTTCTTCTCGATCCGACAAGTTGGTTCGAAAGCAAAGCCAAGTGTCTTAAACTAAAACTTGATATAAGTGAAACTAAGCCCATCGAATACTTCACTTGTAAAAACTTGAATTGTAAATCCAATTACGGTTTTCTATGTTTAAGCATTTATTATGATACTGTTAGCTGCTTCTGCTGTGGAGAAAAAATGAAAAGAGAAGTAGTTCAAAACGAGTCTCGAGCTAATGATGATGGAGTTGTTGGTAAATTTACCAACAAAACTGTGTCTTTCGCATGTCAAAAGATGCCTAAACCTAATGATTGTAAGGACGGAGTTTTTATCAGAAATTCAGAGTCTTTAATAATCTCTGACGCTCTTCGGATACTTCCTAATACGACGGGTTTCGTGCAAACTCTCAAAAGTTTCGGCATTGCAGACACCTATGGCGCAGAGCTAATGAATGTGACGTTTGGATTTAATGAGGTTAGTGTTTTAACTATTTTGTTTTCACTATGTTTGTTTTAAGGGGCAAACATGCGTATTTAGGGATTTCGTCCTCTTAGTTGTCACGTTTCAATTTTACATGCAATAATTTTGTAAATGTAGTATTTTTGTCCTATTCTTTTTTTATTTTATGATGCAATTGACGAACTTTACTTATATGGCCGTTTTAAATATCATAAACTTAGCATTAATAATACTATGATTATGTTAGGTAAAATTCAATTAAAATTCGATGTGCAATAGGACCAAATTAAGATGATAATTTTGCATACTTATTGCATTTAAAATTAATTGAAATACGACAATTTAGAGGACTAAATGCAGGCCAATATATATTACGCGATCAAAATTACATATTTTATTTGCTAGATATTACTATCTCAATCGAATGACAAATATTTCCTTGTCTATATATATTAGATTATGGATTTGCTCAAGGCCTCGTTACTATCCCATACTCCGCTAACCGATATCATACTCAACAAAAACCAGATCTACGACTACGCTCGAACAAAATACGAACCGGGATTTTCACTTGAGCGGATTGCGACGAAAGCAAATGCTAGATCCAAGAAGATGAATTTAAAAGTGATTTTACAAAAATCTACCAATAAGTTATTGTTTGCTCAAGCTGAGGATGATTTCGTAGATTTTCTATTTATTTTTCTGGCCATCCCACTAGGAGGAGTTGAGCACCTTTTGGGAAGTAACACTTGTCTTAAGAGTATAGACAACTTGCACCGCAGTGTAGCAGATCTTATGGACCACAAGTCTCTAGCGAGTGCAGATACTAAAAAGATGCTAATGAATCCTAAGCTACATCATGGATATATTTCCAAAAACCCGATTTTTCCTCTGAGTGAACAAAGGCTATATGCTACCTGTTATAACTTAACGGGTGTGACAAAGTTTTCTTCTTTCAATTTCAAGACAGGGCAGGGGAAATATGTCAAGGGACGGAAATTGTACAAGATTACTGATGATTTGACTGTGACACCTTTCTGTATGGCTTCAGCTGTTTCCGTTATCGAATCCCTTAACGTCCCGTTAACTGATATCAAGGAAATGGAGCTTCAAATTGGGCTGGACGAGGTAATGTAACTTGAAATTTTTTATTTCTTATTAGTATATATTTTATGTATTATGACACATGTGTATGTGTTGAGCGTATGCGTACTAATTCTTTGTGGTGTAGGGTTTAAGCATATTGAAGGCATCTCTTACATCGACTTCTGCTCTAACCGATGGCCTGAAGATCGATGGCGTGTTCATGAAACAACCAAGCAAGGACACTGATGTTAGTCAAAATCGTCGGCCTCGCTACAGCTTCATCGACAAGTTTTTTCCGTGCTTTAATCCATCATATATGAAGTTTTAGTTTTATATTTGAAAGCACTTTTTGCTCTTTTCTACTACAGCTCAGCTGACACTCTTCAACTGGCTTGAAGTTGCACTATTATTTTATTCATTGGAACTTTACTTTTATTGCTTCCTATATTTAATGACCACAATCTATCAATATTTCCTTTGTCCTTACTTTTTCCATATATTTATTTCCCAACATCTTTTATCGTTATTTTTCCATATATTTATTTCCCAACATCTCTTACGACAAAACCTCGATAAATTAATAAATATGTTTAAATAATTTTTTTTCACTAGATTAATATTTAGCCAAACTTGTGAGAATTGTTACTATGACTAGGTAAAAGGTTATTTTCATGCGCTTGAAAACAATTTTGAACAAACTATTAAAATTTTTATAGCGGATTAAAATATGACAATAATATAAGAGTAATTATATCAAAATGTAAAAGCAGAGAGGTAAATTAAAAAAAAGGAAAATACAGTTTGCACCTCTTAACTATGAGGTTTGTCACAAACATCTCTTTAAACTGTAAAATGTAACAAAATGTTCCCTCCGTTCACAATATGTTAGTCCATGATGACGTGACATGTTGGCTTTCTTATTTATAGTTGATTTTTTTATTGTTTCATTTTTTTCGGACAATTTTACCCCTCAATTTGTTGCGTGTGTTTATATCAGTGTTCAAAATATATGTCGTGACGGCCGATATATATATCGGCCGCCATATCGGTGGCGGTCGTAAACCTTTACGATATTAGTGAGGCGGTTTGCAAAATCGGTTTTTGAATAGTGAGGCAGTTTATGGCGATGTGTGGCAGTCTGAGGCGGATCAAAACGATATATCGGGTCAATAAATTAGAAAAAAAATATTTGTTTGTTTTAAATAAAAGGAAACTAGGACTTTTTACCATTGCTAATAACCACAAACTATGCTATTGCTTCAAGTATCCAATATTTGTATTCTAAAATTTCAGAAAAGTTTGGTGGGCTACTTAATAAAAATTGGGGTTTTTTTGCATTAATTTGAATTATGAGTGGGCTACTTAATAAAAAAAGGGATTTTTTTACATTAATTTGAATTATGAGTGGGATAATTAATAAAAAAAAAAATGGGATTTTTTTGCATTAATGAAAGTTTTGAGCAAACAAATTAATAAAATTACGTGGGCTAAATAGATATACAGATATAATATAGGGGGAAATTATCAATTGATGATGGGCAGTCCACCCTTGCCCAAGGGTGGACTCACCCTTCACTACAAGAAAAACTAGCTTTAGCGACCAATTTTTCAGCGATGATCAGAAAATGGTCACTACATATATGCATATAGCGACCAATAATATTTTGGTTGCAATAGTCAATTTACGTATTTTTTTTGCAACCAACTAATATTTGGTAGCTATAAATGGTCACTATAATTTGTCCAGAGTTGAGTAGTTATATAGTGACCAAATCTCTACTCGTTAGCGACCTTCATTTAATAGTCACTGTAAATAATGTTAATAGCGACCAATTTGATAACAAAAATGATTAATGGTAGCTATAAATTTTCGGACTGAACATTAACCGAATTGTTTTGGCTGCTAATAGTATTCTAAAAGCAACCATTTGAAATTTTCAAAATTTATTTAATTAAACCAATTAATATATGAAAATCCTAATTCCAAAATTAATATATATATATATATATATATATGTGTG